GAGGAAGACCAGCTCACTGTGATCAGTTCACACACACACACACACACACACACACACGTGTCCATAATGCACATGTACAACCCTCACGATCACTCAGGTATATTCAATCACTGTAATCTATAATCAATACTCCAATAAATCAATGTTCTGTGTTTCTTTTCAATCTTTTGTCCAGTTCAGTTCTGCACATGTAGATATGAAGCACTCTAACATGTAGAATGTGTGTCTGTGTATAAAACACGTGAAGTTTGTATATCATATAAATTTAGCAAAATATCATATCATACACGTATATATCAGAGACACGCTTTAAGAACATTGTGTTTTGATGCACTTCCCAGTTTTGAGCTGAATTCTGCTTCTTTCAAACCAGTGGAAAGACAACATCCAAAAAAGTGTTTATTTTATTGCTCTTTTTTGCGTTTGTAGGAATCTTCAAATGCGTGTGTTTGAGTCAGAAATATGCACTTATAGTATGATGATATCTATATTATGTTTTACCGTTCATTCAGGATGATGAATGAGGCACGTGACTCTGAAACACAGACACTGATGTTTGAAGGTGAAGTGGGGTTGCCGTGACAACAAATAGTGCTTTAGTGATTGCTTAGGAACATGTAGAATGATGTCAATGCGACGGAGATCGTGCGTGTGCGCATGCGCAGTTTTTGCTCCGGGGATCATTTATAATAAAAGTCCCTTTGGTCTTTGTTATAATTCAGTTTTCTGCTGAGATCAGGTGATGTTCTTGGGCTCATCTGAATAAGGTTGAGTAGAGTTTTAATCAAATCTGCGTCCTCTCTGTAATCTAAAACCATTAGCATCACCACTTTATTATGATTAAAATAAAGGTAATCATACACTAGAAATGGTCAATTTGAGGCAGTCCCATCTCTGCATGTGGTCATGTGTGTTATACATGGATTTCTCTGCAACGTCATCACTGCTTGCGCACGCAACCGGGAGGCAGAAAAAAAGACGTGTAACTTATGTGTGCAGTCATGAAATGTGGCAGGTCGTAAAGTAACGTAAACAAGCGTAACATAACTTCTATAAAAGCAAATTCGACCGTCCAGTAGATGCTGCACTGCTAACATTGGCTATTACATTACTAGCCTAACATGGTAATTCATATATCGCAGTAACACTGCAAAATTAAAGACAGACAAACAGATCCAACTAAAATCACGTTTTATTGAGTCAGCAGTTATATACAAACAATAAGGAAAGCTTCGATAAGGTTGTTGCAGTAGCGGACAGCTCTCCGATCCGGCTTTCTGCCTCTGGGATGCGCGCGCAGCCTGTAGTGTTTGTAAACAGGAAACCCGTGTATGGCAAAGTGGATCGTGTGATGCCCTGTCCCAAATGGAACCCTAAGCACTCGCGGTCTTCCTCTGAGTCCGCATTTTCGCGACGTAACGCCGCTTTGAATGTCGGGAAGAAGTCTGCTGTGGAGTCCTCATCAGCGCGGGCTCGGCAAAAGTGCGCATCAAGGGCGCAAATCGACCACAGAGGGGGCGCTCGCGAGCACCCTTCTGAGATCTAAAAATGACAAATGGGACACACTGCGGTCTCACGGACTTAACGGACACGCGCACGCGGCAGCCATTGAAAGTCCACAAGACCGAAAGTGCACATGAAGTGTGCCATTTGGGACAGGGCCTGATTGAGAGTTAGATCTGTGGTTTATTGGTTGTTGTGTTTGAGCCCCGCCCCTCTTTCCACATCAGTGTGTTTGTGTGTGTGTGCGCGCAGGTCACAACAGCTGTCAATCACTCACTAGTGCCTCCTGTCGGCCATCAGTGTGTGTGGGCGCGCGCGCGTGCGTCTGCTGCAGTGTGTGTGTGTTTGTTCTGATGCTTCTGCTTCCAGGAAGCTTTAATTGTTTCTCTGGATTGCAGAGTTCGTGTGACACACCATGGAAAGAGTGACACCTTCAACCTCTTCCATTTTTAATAGTCGCTGTCTTCATCTGTAATGATCTTAGAGGTTAGTGAATAACTGAGCTTCTGGAATTAGTTAAAAAATAACTGACAGAAAGTAGAGAAGTGCTTCATCTGATTGTCACATGACTGGTGTTCATCTACAGGTGTGTGAGTGAGTGTGTGTGTGTGAGTGAGTGACTCTCTGAGTGAGTGTGTGTGTGTGAGTGTGTGTGTGTGTGTGTGACTCTCTGAGTGAGTGAGTGTGTGTGCTGTGTGTGAGTGAGTGTGTGAGTGACTGTCTGAGTGAGTGTGTGTGAGAGTGAGTGAGTGAGTGAGTGACTGACTAAGTGTGTGTGTGAGTGAGTGAGTGTGTGAGTGACTGTCTGAGTGTGTGTGTGTGAGTGAGTGTGTGAGTGACTGTCTGAGTGAGTGTGTGTGAGAGTGAGTGAGTGAGTGAGTGAGTGACTCTCTGAGTGAGTGTGTGTGTGTGTGCTGTGTGTGAGTGAGTGTGTGAGTGACTGTCTGAGTGAGTGTGTGTGAGAGTGAGTGAGTGAGTGAGTGAGTGAGTGACTGAC